TAGAAAACATTTTCATGCAAGTGCTGGACACTTTTTTGTAAATCAAAGTTTCGCAGATTGATCTGTCTGCATGTAGATTAGGATTGACACTATGTCACACACACACACATTCACACACATACACTCACATATACACACACACACACGCGCGCACACATTTATTTACATAGCTGGGCCACAAATGTGTAAAAATGTGAGAAATCACAGACAGATATTAGTGTCGGTTTTTAGGTCTTGCCTTTGATCAGCTTTCGGTGCAAAATAAAAGGAAAACCGCATTTCCATTAAATTTCTACTTGCAGCAAGCTCGTTGACACCACGCATATTTGCGTGTGTGCATGTGTGTGTGTGTGTGCGTGTGTGTGTGTTTACGTACTAAGCGCGACTGGCAGTGGGAGCTGGTTGTGTGGCTTTTGTGGCCTGAACCTTTGATTGATAGGAACAAGCTGCACAAACAGCGACGATTTAGCATATTCAATTTTTACGGCATTATTTGCGATGAGGCTCTTTAAAGTTCAAAGTTCAGTGCATGCTTTGCGGACCTTTTAAATATCAATGCTGCCTTCGCCATTTCGCTGGTAAATGGCTTCAAAAAATGAGAAAGAGCTGGAGAAAAAAAAACGCAAAATAAAAGTTGGGAAAATTGCAAAATATGAGCGCACACAGTTAATAAAAGTTTATGCGTAGAATCAGCAATAAAGCTGCCCTCTCAACTTTAGATATAATTAAATTTTCCCAACAATGTGCTGCCCCCTACACACGTACATATATTTTTTCTGCTTTGCATAAAGCACAAAGCCAACAACAGCGACAGCGACAGCGGCAAAGGCAACTGTGAACAAGGCTAATATCTTTTTAAATCATAACTTGCCTTATAAACCAGCGGCAACAGGAACTGCAGAAACAGGTACTCCCTGAGGCCACAGTTCATCGCCCGCCAACTCTGCCCCACGCCCCCCTTTGGCATAAAGCCGAGAGTTACAGTTCCGTTGGCGTTTGAATAATTGTTTGACATTTTGAATAATTTAATTCAGCGACTGTTTTTAAGTGTTGCTCGAGTGAAAATGAAATTGAAAACCAGATTTGACCTCGCTTGTGCGCGGGCGACCCCTCTATCCAGGCAAATTCAACTCTCAGCTGAAGTTCAAGATTATGGCTTGGGGATTTCGGTGACGCCACCAACGGGCCGCTTACCATTGTGCCACAAGCCGCCTGCGGGCAAACATGGCCATACTGGCCGCGTGGGCGCGCCCGACTGCCCAACAAACTGTGCGCTAATCGAGCAATTAAACACGTCTCGCATTCGGACTGGCCAGCAGGCAAACAGTCAAGCAACTAAACAACTAAGCAACTGCCAACTGGCAGCTCGCTAAACCATCCACACACACACACACACGCACGTTGTGCTGTGCCTGACAATTTACAGTTATGGCCAGACCACACTCAACTACAAAGTGACCAAACTTGACAAAGTCATCTGAATAATTAACTATTTGCTGGCCAACACATCAACTCGAAATCTCTGTTAAGCACAAACTCTGTTAACAATATTGAAATCCTTGAAATTGTCGCTTGTAATTTAATTCAAAATCATTTAAAGCTTTAAATTTTTGTCTTATTTCGTTTTGTTGCTTTAGTTATATTTTCTTAAGCTTTCGCACGTTGAAAAATCTGTTCACCTTCCACGTACATTTTTTTTTTTTACTTTATAAAACTTTTACCCTTTTTGTTTCCTCTTAAAGTTTGTTTTTTTTTTTTATAACTGCGTAGCATGTCATATAATATAGCTTAATAGGAACATTGTTTACATTTTGCTTTGATTAATATATATTGTTAAAAAGTCTTCCTAGTTATCTCTTGATATAAAAACAATCTCGAGAACAAAGAGCTGTAACTAGGGGTCTAGCAGAAAGAAAATACTTATTAATTTTCATTATAACTTGCCCTTAAATATTCAACTATAATAGCATTGTAGATTGCTTTATATAAAATATTATTATGAAAAATATTCTTTTTAATAATAAATATAATAACAATATAATAAATAGTGTTTTAGCATATTGAAGCTTAGATAATTCTGTTAAGCTTGATTGTATAAATAAAGAACTGAGGTAAAACTAAAATGGAATGGAATGATTAAATACTCCGATTCATTTAACTCAAGCAAATGAACTTCATGCAGCCAGAAAAAAAAAAGAAAAACAAACAAATACAACAACAATATAATTATATCTATCCCCTCTCTAAGTATAAATGACTTTCCTAATGCATATACCACTCAATAGATGTCATCAAGGTTAGGAAGGAGTCGCTATAAATAAATATTATACAAATATAAATTCAAACCTATGCTTAGCTCATAGCGAATATTTTCCTGTAGTTCAGTGTCGGAGTTGCGGGCGGTAAGTAGGTTTGGCACTCCCCTTGCTGCCACCTCTAACTTCAAAGGGACGCACACAGAAAACAGAAAAAAAACTAAAAACTAAAACAGTTTAAGTGGCACTTTTATGGCATTGCCGAGAGGCCGACATTGTCGACTTCGAAGTCGACGCCTTTGCCCAGATAATTGCCCCACGCCAGGTGGGTAGGTTGGCGGGTTGTCCCGAAAGACATTTGCCGGGGCTTATAGCAGCATATTAATATAAGCAAAGCTGCACAAAGCCTACGCGGGAGCCTAATTAAAGAGGCAAAAGGAAATGGATAAAGTGCTTATTAATTCGGCGCTTTAATTTCTTCATTTGCTTACCTTGGAAAAACAAAAGGGCTGACAACAATATTTAGCTCGTAGCCAGCCCCATTGGCCATGCAAAGCCAATTGTGTGACTAAATGTGCTCCATTTCCATGCTCATTTCCCCCAGAACAGACCCGTTCCCTTCCCGCTCTGGCTGCTGATGTTGGCGTCTCCGTTTTCCAACTGTCGCACATTTGACTAATGCACAACAAAAGTGGAGTGTTACAGGATATGCATAATACATCGGGTACACTTGTAAGTGAGACAATAATAGAAAAGAAAAAGCGCTTCGGCGCACACAGACACAAAAGGACACACAGCCAGAGATAGAGACAGCAATGGCAGCAACGGCAGCAGCAGCAACACAGAGACATGGCAGGCTCAGGCTCAGGCTCTGTCTCTGGCTCAGGCCAGATGTCGTGCAGAAAAAAGAAAACAGAGTATATAAAAAATGGCAAAGCAAAGCGCCAAGCGAAGACAAAAAGCGACGGGCAAAAGGATGACAATACAAACTGGCGCCACTTGCCTCGCACGCAGTCGCTAGGCCAACATTTTAGTTTTTGCGCCTCCTCTGTTTTCTAGGATGAGTGCGGCTTGACGTCAACGCCGACGTCGACAGTATGCCACACAGATACAGCCAGCAACAACACAGTGGGCAGCACACACTCACACACACACACACACACACACACAACAAAGGCAGCTTTAAAACATGACCTGGTCCCCACTGTAACTGCTCTATGGCTGCTGCTCTGTGCTCCGTTCAACTGGCACGCACACATCATTTTTTATCCAAGAAGGAGTGTGAATGTGTACCCAAAGCCCAAAACGAACGCAGCTTGACCCATATCCACATGGAATGCACACACCTAATAAGCGTGCACATTGACCTTAGCTGCAAGTAGTCGGAGCGGTAGGAAAGCGTATAAAGCTAATTAAAGTCTGGTGAATTCGTCCGACTTTAACTTTTGCTCAAGTTAGTATATACATACATATATTTATGAACTGCACTGTATGTAGATAAATATATGCAGGTTGCCATATTAACACTCACAGATTTTTTAAGCACTACTGTCGGTAGTATACGACAAATTATCATACATTGACAGAGCAATAAAAATAGCTGCAAATATAAATAAAATAAAAAAAAAAAAGAATGCCATTTGAAATCTCATTTCATAAATTTTGATTACTTTTTACTCATTTAGGCATGTTAATGTTATGAAATGCAAATAAAAATTTGCTGATGGCATTTTGAGCCAATTTTTGCAATAGTCATAAACTCAAACAAATGAATTTTAATTTAACCTATTCAAATTTGATAATATATGCATTGAAATTATGGCACAGTGCAAAGATGGCCGATTGGGAATATAATTTCATTTCATCCTAGGTAACAAGTTTTCACAATCACAATTTAATTTGGTCAAAGGTTTACAAAGCGTGACAATCAGTAATAATTGGGTATATATAACATTTAAATTATGAAGTATGTGCTCTGATTGTTGGAAAAGTAAAAAGATCAATAGACGAAACAGTCCAACTGACTGAGAAGTGAGTTAACAGCAAAGAGTCTTCGTTGGAATGACATTTCCTTAGATATTAATTTAATCAGAGACATTTATGTGAACATAAAAAAACACATAAATAAATTATAACTCTAGTTTCTTTATAGAATAACACTAATATATATATTTATTTATATATTCAATTTTTGTATATTTGTATTTTATATATATATACTATGACTAGTCGTATCATTGATGCTAAAAACTAACATGGTGTGCTACTAAGTATAAAAAAAACTTATACAAATCATGAAACACAATCGAGAAGAGCGCTGACGATTGTTAGGACAGGTCAGCGATGGCGTCATGGATGAAGTCACATCAGACTTTAAGAAAGTTTTCGTCCCCAACCCAATTTATCAGCCAATTTAGTCAAATAGAGAGATTGACAAGCTAGCTTAAAACGGATTTGCTTGAGCATATCGATTCGAATGTGCCGCTGATTATAAAAGGCATGTTTTTAATTTATCGGGCATTCAACAGGCAAGGCTAAGGCTAAAATGATACTTATTCTAATTGATAAGTAAACTGCAGAGTTAAGTGCTTAGTATAAGATAAAGCCTTTTTATTTTATTTTTATTTTATTTGCGCTTGCCTTGAAATAAGCAATAAAAAGATAAGAATAAATCAAAATTTTGAATAGTCGCTCTCGGCACTTTAAAGTGAACAGTAGTCCAAGCAACCAAAGAAGTCTTCGAGCATGGAATGCAATTGGAATAGCACGGATAAAATATGGAGTTGTCCGGCTCGCAGCACCATGTACAGCCCCAATACATCTGTGGGTCGGATCATTTTCAATACAATGAGAAACTGGCCAAAGAATGTGTGTCAGGTGAGCATAGACGGGCAAATCAAGCTGCTGGAACACAGAACATGTCTATAATCAATATAAAAAAAATGTGGCAGATCTCAGATACCGATGGTGTGACCCTAACCAGTGAACAGGCCCTCACCTGGGCCATTCGCATGGCGCAGCACTTCAAGAAACGCGGCCTTGACCACTCGAGTGTCATAGGCATTGCAGCCAGAAATACCACCTACATACTGCCATTGGGCGTAGCATGTCTTTTGAATGCCACTCCATTCCATTCAATCAATCCGATACTCGACGAAGGTGCGTTATTTGATTTCTTCCGCGCACTTTGATTTCTTAGATTAATCGAGCTCTGTTACCGTGCAGAGACTATGAAGTTCATGTATGAGATAACCAAGCCGGCGCTTATATTCTGTGACAAACAGGAATATACGAAGGTATATGCGGCGACCAAGGACTGGCAGCCCGAGATATTTATCATAGACGAACCAATAGACGGTGTGCCCAATATACGAAGTCTATTGGAATTTACCACAACCGAAAAGTTCTATCAGTGAGTGGCAATTGTTAATCGAAGTGTATTATTATTGCTTTAATATGGCAATAACTGCCATAGACTATTGATAATTGTTCTACTATTGATAATTATTCTGCTTGCAGACCGGAGCCTCTTAAGTCTAGTGATCAAACTGTGGCCATTCTATGCTCATCCGGCACCACCGGAATGCCCAAGGCGGTGTGCATATCAAATAGTGTACTATTAACGGATAATATGTGAGTCAATAAGTTAGAATAAATATTATATATGCGAGTCAATAAATTAGAATAAATATTCAAACAAATATACCCTTTACACTACAGCCTTAAATTTAAGTGCGCATATATATTTATAAGGCTATATTTAAGTATTTAAAACCGTATAAAATGTTTTGCTATTATTTCATACCCCTTCACTTTCAGGCTTGTCAACAGCGAATCGATTTTCTTTATTAATAGCGGCCTGGATTGGATAACCGGGCTGTGGGCCTTTATGTTTAGCGCCGTATTTGGCAGCACGCGTATTTTAACAACGAAGCCCTTTTCGCCGGAGTATTTTATTGAGTTGGTTAAGAAATATAAGATCAATTATGTAACTATGGCACCTGTCCATTTGGCCGCCTTGGTCGCAAGTCCAGCTGCCACGCCCTATGCACTATCCTCGCTGCACAATGTTAATTATGGCGGTGGCATCGCCTCGGATGCGACACTGAAACGTATCCAGCTATTGTGCAAAAATGCCACGCTTAACTCGGCCTACGCCATGACGGAGGTGGGACTGATTACTATGAATTTTGGTATTCAGAATACGGCCACGGCCGGTAGGCCTATACCAGGCATAAGCATACGCATTGTGGATGAGAATGGCAAGAACCTGGGTCACAATGAGGTGGGTGAGATATATGTGCACACCGGCAAGGACTGGAATGGCTACTATGGCAATCCGGTTGCCACACGGCAGATACGTGATTTTCAAGGTTGGATACACTCCGGCGACTTGGGCTACTTTGACGATCAGAACTATCTGTATATAGTTGATCGCAAGAAGGAAGTTCTTAAGTATCAGGGCATACACTACTGGCCCACCGAAATCGAGAATGCCATCAGAGAGTTGCCGCAGGTGCGCGACGTTTGCGTTGTGGGCGTGCCCCATGAACTATTGGGCGATGCTGCCGGCGCCCTGGTGATTAAAACTCCTGGCTGCACAATAAGCCCCACTGAAATTGCGAATCATGTCGCAAAACGCCTGCCGTCCATAAATAAGCAGCTGCACGCCGGCGTCAAATTCACCGACAAGCTACCCATTAATCCCAATGGCAAGGCCATGCGAAAGGCGGCCCTCGAGCTCTTTGTGTCACTTGCTGCCGAGAAGTAAATATAACTAATCATATACAATTTTAAACTAACTGTCAACATCTTTGCATACTCATATGCTTAATCAAATAGACCACGTATCCGAATAAATATATATTGCAATCATTTTTTTACTATTTTGTAGCTTGGGAACTATCGAAAATATCTGACATAAAGATACGATTTTAGTGGTTAATAACTCACAATAGAACATTGAAAAAAATATTAGAAAATATAAAAAAAAAAAAAACCATTTAGTTTTTTTTTTTATGTAAGCCACATATTGATAGTCAGAAAATATTAATCTATATATACTTAGTTTGAGCAAAACAATGCAGCAGTCATACACTAACGTTATATAAAACTTATATAGAAATACCACATCAAAATAGAGCCAGCGTTCACTAAGGATATTACAATCTGTCTGTCGAACGACTCTCGTACTTAGCTTTCTTATAGCTTTCTTAAATGCGCGAAATCGTACTATTAATAACAAAATCAAATTAACAGCCAGTTCAGTTGTTGCTATCTGGGCAAACCATTATGCAAACCAACTCTCCTTCGAGCTGGCCAGCCGACAAACGGCTTCAACCCAGCGACCTACCGGAAGGCAAACTTGGTAGCGCCTAATCAACATCCCAAAGTTCAATTTGAAGACACCTAGTCTACGTTAAAATACTTAATCTGCTTCCGCTCTCTTTTAAATTAAGATTAAGTTTTATATATAATAAATAAAAATATATATTTTTAACTCTTCCATAGCAGCATTTTCAGTGTACTAAACAACGTACAATACAAGTTTAATTCTTAAATAAAAAAAACATGTAATCGAGTGTTGAATACCTAAAAAAAAAAAGCCTGCCATCTGATACAAGGCAAAGCATAACTCTTGTGATAAACTTGTTGCAGCAAATCCCAAAGAGAGAATATATTTAAAATTCCATATGAAAAGCAACAAAGATAAGATATAAATAAGACAATATACAAATAAATATATTTGAGTTATGACATTTTCTTTTAAAATATATACGCACATGATATGAAATCTTGAAACTAGAAACAAATTTGGCGGGCCGAGCTGAGGCGAGGTGAGTTCCGCAGAGCGCTTTGACTAGTCGAATGACCCATCGGTGATTAACCCATTGTCATAAATTGACCATAATTTGTATATAAGTATGTATGTAAATGTTGGTAGCACTTATGCAAATACCTATCTACTGTTGCCGATCAGACAGAGTGGCGTGTAAAGGGCACGTAATTCGATCAAAGCACGCACTTACAAACATATAAATAGGGTTGTGAATGTTTATAACAAAGCGCAGCCTTTAACAGGTGACACAACAAATCCTGTGCTCACACATACACACACACGCGCACATACACGCACATTCAATCCCTTTATGTGCAGTTGAGGCTTTGCAGGCCTAAAACCGAGAGCAAGAGCAACAACAACAACAACTGCGACACAAATGTGTCTTAAAAAGGAAGCAATGCAAAAGGTACGCCAAAGTTATGTGCTCCATAGCAGAACCCCACCACAGCCCCCCCCAAAGAAGCAAATCCTCTTGGTACACCTTAGCCACGCCATGCCCATGTCCTGTTGCCTACCCGCCGCTTGGTTCACTTGACAAGCAGCCAGGCAAAAATGCAAATATTTGTAAAATATATGCGTGTAAAAATTGTTGTGCTCCATTATCCTTTTAACTGGATATGGCGAACACATGCGGGACCTGAGCCAAGTCAAATACCAGGAGCCATCAGCTAAGCGGCAGATAACAGCAGCAGGAACAGGGTAAGAGGACGGCCAAGCCAACTTGAAGGGTTTGCTGCTCTCAGCCATGTCGATGCGTGCGATTTGCTTACTAGGAACCAGGACGCAAACAGGACAGGTGCCCGTCTATCCAAGTAAGTGGGTTGTCAAAGCAAACAGTAACAACAACATACGCAACAACAGCAAATAATAATAAAGTAAGAAAAGGCAGCCAAGTGCCGCGTAACGAGGCAGCAAAGCGTCAGAAGGCCGCAACATGACACTTTAAACGTTTTACTGTCCTCAAATGTGGCTCCTACTGTTGCACGAAGGGTGCCACTGATTGCCGATATACACACACACTAACACATACACGCAGGCATATTTATTTTGTATGTTACTTGGACGCCGCTGCCACTAAATTACTCACGCACTCGTAATCAATTGAAGTTATTGCATAATTTCGACATTGATAGAGTACGAAAGTCATTTCGATTTGATTTAATACACACTCATACACACACGCACGCACACACACACACACACACACAGAGACAGAGAGAGCTGCAGCAGCACACAGTTATAGAAAGACAGTTAGACGCCTCGTCGCATTATGTGTCACATTTCATTTGTTACGCTCTGCTGGCTGCGCAGTCAACGACAACAGCGACGGCAACGGCAGCAGCGACAGCGACTGTGCATATGAATGCTGCAGCATTTCCATTTGAGCCCTCGACATCAATTCCATTGCGCTCTCTTTCTTTGCTGTGTCTCTTTCGTTTACAATAAATGCACGTGGTGCTAGAAACACCCACAAACACACACATACGTATAACATATATGTTCTATGCTTACAGCATCAATGGGTGTTTGTTTGTATGCCTGCTTGTAGGTTTATAGGTTTGTCCCCTGCCTGCCTGTCTCTCTGTCTCTATGTCTGTCTATCTGTCTGCCTGACAGTAGTCAATCAGATGCCCCGATTGCCAGTCGTCATCATACTCGACATCGACATCGCGAAATGATTTATGAGTTGCTGCTCGTTGTTGCTGTTGTTGTTGTCCTGGATGTCGTTGTTATTTTCCTGGCTGTTCCAGTGTTGTGCAGTTTGCCATTTGCCATTTGCCCTCAGTCTGTCGCTTAAAGAAATTGAACTGTCAAACGCCCTTAGCGTGCAATCGCTTAGTTCTAAAAATAAAATTCAGCTGATCCGACTGAGATCAGCAAAAAAAAAAGCAATTGCTCAAATCAAGGCTAAATTTGAGCCAACTTTTTCTTTACACACTAAGGTAATCGCACCTTAGCCCAAAAAGGAAGTATCTTAACCAAAACATACTTTTCTTAAATTTATATATATATATATATTTGAGAATATTAAAGCAGAAGCAGTTGTTACACGATAGTTTTAATACTCTATGGCAAGAAACAAGTTCACGAACCTAATCTAAGGAACACGGCTATGCTTTAAAACGCACACCGACTCAGCAATAAATTCGAATGAATGTACGCATATGCAAAGAAGTCACTGTTGTGGCCCAGCTTATTATAAAACCCGAATGTTTTTGCTAGAAAACATCTTCAAAGGCGTATAAATAGAATTTATAATTAATATAATTAACACATGAGTTTACGCTTGTTGAACATCTATAAATCAACGAGATGTAAAATACTATCTTAAAATAATCTGAAATACATACTTAAATAATTTATAAGCCCCAACACGTCACACATGTTGAAAAGAAGTAAGAGCCTTGCATTGCAAATCTGACGACTGCCCAATACCCTTTAGAGAAGTTATAGCTCCAAGCAAAATTTAGTTACTTTGAAGGTTATCCTTATTATGCTGTACCCTGGCAACAGTCAGTTTAAGGTCACGACATTTGACATTTCCATTGAAAACTTGTATATTTTTGCAGTATAATCGTAGGCAGAAATCTTGAATGTATAAACACGCGGCCCATAAGGATAACTGGGAGTGCATGAGTGCATGAAAAAATTAAGAATTTTGGTAAAACGAATTAATTTCACGATTTCACAACCAAAAGTCATAGTAAGGAAAACGATTTAATTTAAATTTGTACTTTGAAAAAGTGGAATTTTTTTACCATTCAATTCTCAATTGCATTTTATTATAAGGAATATGTTGATGAGATGCCGGAACAAACCAAAGGGCATTTGCAAGTGCATGTAGACTTCACATTTACTTATATAACTGAATATATCCACTAAATGCAAAAGACATATTAAGTATTCGACACGTGTTACAAGGAATTTTTATTTTGTCTGCTTCCAACTACACACTGCATACCCAGTATCAAAAATGTGTTTTATCATTTCATTATTTACCATATAAAACCATTCTAATAATATTATTTGTTGTATATTATTTTTCATTATATTTAGTTCAAGTATTAAAACTCGACCTGTCTAAAGTTCCTGTTCATCTTCGGGCTCATTTTAAGCATTGCTAGCCTAATCGGATTTACGGCACATACTGAACTGTATCAATACTGCAATGTAATTGCTGCCACCAACGGACCTTTGTATTGACACCGAAGCAGCACACAGGATCGGCAGCACACTACATCCATGCGAGACCAGGAGTAGCAGCAACGCGTGCAGCCGGCATATTAGCCATTCATTGAGCGCGTTTATAGCGCGCTTTTGTGCGCCTTTGCCGCAAGCACACATACACACTCAGAGACATACACACAGGATGGTAAATACACACACGCGGAACCTTTACATTCAAAGCAAAAGGTCCTTTGGCGGATTTACTGATTGATGGCTATTAATTTATTTGTTGAGTGGTCCGCAGACGATACGCCTCCAACCCAAATGGGCCCAAAGGCTCGACAGAGCTCTAGAGTTTTGGTACTGAGAATCTGAGCAGCTCCACAGAATAGTCGAATTAATAAAGATTTAGACATTGTTCGCGCCATTCATTGTTGTGAGTGCCTGCCAGACCGCCTGGCAGCCGCTACGCCGGGAAGCCATAATGCGCTTCCTGGCCCGCCAAGCCATTGAAATCGGTTACAAAGAAGCGCGGACCAGACAAATTCATTGAGAGAGAGCAAGTCCTTATATACTCTTAGCATCCCAAACAGACTCCATTGCATTGATGTGCCACTAATCAATAAAGTGATGCACAGTAGTTCAATATGTAAAGCATAAATACGGTAGTGGCTCCTTAAGAAGAGCCTGTACAAATTTTAGATTCCAATAAAAATTTAATCTTTTCTTTGCTATGCAATAACAATAATATACAATAACTT